GATAACCCTTCTGCAATGTCCAGATATTTTTGATAAGGTTTACTCTTGTGACTATTTTCRCAAAGCAACATCAGTGAAAGATTTCCCCTCAACGGAAGAGGGATCTTCCAAGTATTTTGAATATATTTTAGTTTTATGTTTTTTTAAATAAACTTTAAGGGTTACCATATTTTTAATCTGATTATTGAACCTTTCTATAATATTCTGAACCTTTATAAAAATACAGTCACCAAGATCCAAATCCAGCTACACTGACCACATGAAGCAACGTTGTTTGCCCTGTGATGAATGTTAAACTCTTCTGTCACCTACATGCAGGGGAATTTAGGACCAAGTCACAGTCCCATTGAAATTAGCTGCAAAATTCCCATTGACTCCAATAGGACCAGCATTTGGTTCGCAGTCTCGTTACTGAGCATGACAATTAAAAGATGCTTTTACAAGCTGCTTTGCTCTAAGAGGGCACAAACTATGATGGGGATTTCCTTGAACCCTCACTGATGGCATTGCCATAGCAACCAAGGCGCTAACAAAGGTGGTCCCCTCTCAGCATCCTCAGGTGTCACTATAGCAACCGGAGGCTGCAGGGAATGGGGGAAAACTGGAGAACTGTCAGCTGAAGAAAAGAGCTGTGAATAAGAGTGTTGGAACCAAACGCAATGTCAGGATGAAGCATGTCGAGTAAAGAGAAATGAGTGTTTGGGATCTGTGCGAACAAAGAGCTAAAACAGCCCAGGCCAGCAGTAAAACTGGCCCTTACAGAGGATGGCYAGGCTTTTCCTTGGATAAGGAAACCATACAGCATTCCAGGCAGATATTGCCAGATTTTAAATTAGTTACATTTTAGACATAATTCTTTTAAGAGAGAGGTTGGTCACTACAGGAGAGAAGCTTTAGCTGCAGTGAGATTTAAAACCCACTGAATTTTCAAGAGCACTTGCTGCACTTCTCATGTCTGTGTTTCTTTACAAATGTGGAAAATGTGGGAAAATGCAATCCATGCTCTTGCATTGAGAGCACAGGGCAATTATATAGCCACAGTAGCTAGCAGATTCCTAACATTTCTTCTTTACAAGTCTTCAAACAGTGTTCAAGTGGAAGGGAAAAAAAAAAAAAAAAAAAAAAAGCTGCTCTTTCGATTAGACAGAGGGAAATAACACTGTTTAGCATGGGCCTAAGTCAGTTAAACATGTTTTGCAGACTCTCAGGTGGGAAGATAGCAGGGCTATCCCCACAAAAGAAGAGTCATCTTATATAAACATAAGCCCCTCACCAAAAAATGGAAAAAAAAAAAAAAAGTCATGATATTGGCAGATCCTCATATTAACCATTTAGGCCAAACCAGATTCCCATTGGCACCAGAGGTATGAATTTGAGTGGGACTGAGTTATCCGAAACATGCTTGTTCCCTGGCCAAAAGCAGTGCAGTTGTACCCGCAGGCCTCCTCTGAGGCAGGCACAGAGCTGGTTGCTTTACTCCAAGCGAGCTCTCAGCCAGCCTGCTAAGGCACYGCAACAGGGCTCTCGCTAAGCCCAAGCCTCCGCTTTAGCCTGGGTTTTCGTTCCGCATGGGAAGCGCGCCCTCCAGTGGGACTTGCTCTCGGACTGGGCTCACCAGAGGGACTACCTGCCTCCAGTACCGGCACCGCTTAAACCTGGCTTCCCCACGCTCCTTAGGAGCCTTTTCCTACCCTGCAGTACAACATAATGTACAAGTGCACAGTGCAATTTATATTCCAAAGCAAAAGTCACTAAGTGACAAACTTTTGACTAATCCAACAAACAGCATATACTAGAGAAAAAAACAAAACATACTGCAGTAATATACTTTACAGACGGCATTTCTTTTTTTGATTTAAATGTCAGCTGTACCCTGAATGTTTGCTGCTGTGTGGCACATGATTTCTACTGCTTTTCTGCAGTTCTATATATGCAGCCCAGTTGAATCACGCATGTGATTATACCCTTCCATATGAAAAGCAGCATTAACACCAGCAGYCCAGGGGAGCTGGGTGGTATTCCAGAACACCTCCTCAAAGCACACGAACTTCCCAACATGCACAACGGCAAGCAAGTGTGGCAGGGGGCCAGTGGGGATGAACAAAAAACACTCCTCACCGAGCTCAAGTAGAAACATCAAGCACACAGAAGGTGGGAGCTGGAACAGGCACCCAGAACTAATATAGAGACATTGCCTGAACATACAGATCTGGTTAGGAAAGCCAAAACTGAGCTGGAGTTGAAGTGGATGACAAGATAGCCACAAAAAGAGGCTGGAGCACAAGGCTCAAGGGCTTTGATCAGCAATGCAAAGTCCCACTGCTGGCTGATTGCTGTTGGCATCCCTCAGGTATCAAAACCACAGCCAATACGGCTTAATGTTTTCCCGAACACCTTGGATAATAAGACAGACTCACTCTCAGCAAGGTTTCGGACAACCCAAACTACCAGGGAGGGGAGGGAGARCACAGGGCTGATATTAACATGCCAAAGGGCAGGGCTACCATGCTAAGGGAGAGATTGGCCGACAGGAACTTCATTAGGTTCAACAAAGGCACATCTGAATTCCTGCGCCTACAAAGTGACCCCTACAATGATACAATGAGGTAGTGACCGACAMGTCACTTTCCGGAGGACCCACGTGCTCCAGTGGGCAACTCAAACATGAGGCAGCAGCTGGCCCTTGTGGCAACGAAGGCCCACGCATCAGCAAGAATCAATCTGCAGTAGAAACAGCAGAGATGGACTTCAGAAGAGAGAATGGCATCAATAGCAGCTAGGGAATTAACTGATTTCACAGGAAGACTTCTACAAGCAGCAGAAAAGCAGATTTCAAGATACACTGAGGCCTGGTGGTTGTGAACTGACACGCCTGGGCCTCAGCTCGCCCAGTCCATGGGCAGCTGCATGGGAGAACAGGAGCGAGGCAGATCCTCCTGGCGGGAATGGATCAGAGAGAGAGAACCAGCTGCAATCCCACTAATCCTGCTCCAATCTGTCTGGGGCTCTCAGACAAGTCCCGCCACAGCCCACATTTATTTGTGCATTGGCAACACGTTTGATTTCGGACTCGGTATTGCTTTTTAATTTATTCACAAATGCACACACATGTGCAATTCACTTCAATTTCACTTTTAGCTGTACTTTTCATATTCCTATATAATTGCCAGTGTTGCTAAATTATTGCCTCCGCTTGGGATTTGCACCAACTATAATTACTATAACCAGCTACAATTATATTTAAAACAAGCTGCTTTTCTGACTTGTATTCTTCAAGATGAGAAGTCTCTACTGATTTAGAAGAGTCTTCTTGCTTAATATTCAATCTTCACTGCTTGATAGGCTTCTCTAAGACTAGATTTAGTCATCTGCAAAACTAAGAAGGAAAGGACTAGGGTTCTGTGACATGGAAAATCGCATGTCTAAAAGGTGAAAATAGAAAAAAAAATAAGCTACAGCCTCTTGACCATAGGGAGAAAAATTATATTGAGAAATGAAGCCTATCTTACCCATTCTCAAAGCATGATATAGAGCCACCTGATGTTAACTTCCAACAAGAAGTTTCAGGAGCCAAACTTGTCTTGGCTTTGCCATTGACCTAATCATTAATATTTGAAGCATCTTCCTATGAAAACTTTATTTCTTTATTTTTTAATTGAAATGTTATGCTTTATTCTGGCCAATTTTCTTCCCTCTGGATTCATAACCTGCTATCAAAATTGTAACCATGAGGTAGCTGTTGCAAGCAATTATGTTTTCTCAGACCTGTAAAATGACCAAAATTTGAGACAAATTCTTCCACTTAGAAAAAAAAATGTGAAGACATGGATAYCACTGAGTTGCGGATACATACAAAACAGGGAAATTCTTGAGCACAGAAAGAATCAAACAAACCAAGCTCAAGATCACCTGGTCAAAGGAAATATTTGTGTATTTTAGCCCATATGACTCAGTCACTAGAGAAGCACATCCCACATGTCTGCTGCATCTTAGCTTCCTACTTGCTATAGTTGCAACCACAGTGTTTTCAGGTATCTTGGATGAGCTTATATTGCCTCAGCCTGGCCATTTAAAATAATTTTTTTAGAAGTGCTACTACTAGCTTCTGCAAAGCTAAGTTCACACACTTATCTGGTGAGGGTAGCAAACAGCTGTGTCTTTCACAAAAGAAGAAATATTGCTTTTCATTGTTGTTAAAGGTTAAGTGTACCGAATTTCAAATTTATTTTATTTTGCTTTTGATAATTAAGGTCACTCCAATGTTGAAGTTCACTTATTTCTAAATCATAAAAAAAGATATTCAAATCAAATCTTTGGTTTTATGCCTCCCCTTTATAGAAGTTATACACCTTAGCCATATGACTTTTTTTTTTTGAAAAGAGCTTGCAAGAAATCTGACAAAATTAAGAGGAATGGGAAAATACTGMAATCCAGAGTAGAAAAGGAAGTGGAAGCAGTGGAGAGTACAGAGTAAAAACAATTGAGAGAGACTTAAGGAATTCCACAGCACTTTGTTCAATTTGATTAGGTTATTTTAACCACTTTCAATTCTGGTAACAAGAGCCTTGCTCTCTATTCTTCTGCAAGAAGTTCAGGGCCAAAATCTTGAAATCCTGATTCATTGCTCTGGATAGGAGTAACCTTCCTTCTGTGTCGCTTACATTTATAARTGGGAAAGTGGATTTTTTTTTCTTTAAACTTCCCAAATGCAGCGAGGCTTCTGTCATTTTCTCAACATCRCTATGTTTTGGCATCTACAGCTCTCAATCAAGACCAAGGATGATCTTCAGGTTGCAGATGACGCTGCATATCCCAGGAGCAAGCACTCTGGACCCCGGCTAAGCCGGCGCAGACAGAGGCGAGAGGCTGGCGGAGCCGTGCAGGGCTCGGTGCGATGCGACTGCACCGACACAAACGAGACAGGGCGGCTTTAAGAGAGAAACAGGAAGCTGTAACGAGAATCCAGCTGAATTCTGAGCCGGGGCACTTCGCTGAGTGGCTGCAACGAAGCAGATGTGAATTTCTGTAGGGTCTGGACATTTTTGCACMAAAGGTGATAACGCTTTCCTTCCTCTGGGAATCTCTTCTGCACGTATTTTCCATGAAGAGAATGAAATGGAGAAGTTAAGGAAATATATATCAGTGAAAGATGAAGATCAATTTTATCACCAGGGAGCTGTGGAGTTGCTGGTCTTTAACTTTCTGCTCATTCTTACAATATTAACGATTTGGTTATTTAAAAACCATCGATTCCGCTTTCTGCATGAAACCGGAGGAGCCATGGTTTAYGGTGAGTATAAATTGCAGCACCAGTTGAAACGGGACTAGTTGTATATGTAAAACCAGGCATGGGATATCCAGTCTGACAAAGGTCAGAAAATGTGCTGAAATGTCTTCGTCCCCTAATTGCAAAATAGTAATTCAGCTTAGCCATCTCTCGGGATGTAGCTAGAGGTTGACTTGTCAGGGGAGTGAATATCATATTACTCTCAAGATGTGCCCATTCTGTCACCATTTGGGCACGCCACCCCTGAATGACATTGRAAGTCCTGTTTTCACAGGAAAGAAATGCCCACATTGAACGAGGTCATGCAATGTGTGCATKTCGCCTGCTTTTGTGCAGCACTCAAAGGTGTCAGACTCAAGCCCTGCAGGTCCACCTGTTTCTAATGCAGTTTTCACCATCTCAAGATTTGTTTTTGTCCCCACTGTGCCTTTGAACCGCAGCTCTGAAGAAYGTCCCTATCCCCTGTGAATGGTGTCATTGTGCCGCTGCCCCGGCTTGCCTGCCTGGTTCCGACCTGCCTCGCAGCTCTGCAATACGATGCACCACTTTCACGCACAACCTTGTGCATTGTCCCCCTGCCAGGAAGTTCTTGCCAGTTAAATTCAAACCCCCTTTGTGTATAATGACTTGCCAGGTCTCTTACTTCTGGTTCACTTTGAGAAAAATACTGATTTCCTTTTCTGTTGCCATAAAACACATATAGTAGTGGTACCATCAAGACTGAAGAGAAGGAAACAAATCTAAAACTCAGTCATTASACATCTGAATTACAGCCTGCTTTGATTCATTCCTTGAACACCACATACACTAGAGATGTAGCAACCAAACTAGTTTTCATTCAAGTTTCATGTTCTGAAGAACTTTTGATTGTTGGGTCCCGCCACATGACAAACTCCCATGGGAGTTCAGTTGCAAACTTGCAGCTCATCCCTATGACTCCTATGTTTAGGGCTGGAGGCTTCATCAGCTCTTTTCTATATCAAGCCATTTAAGATGATCTCTATTCTGTGGGAGGATGGCATAGGAATATCACACTCCTAGTATTCCTTTCAAACTATTTAGCTAAATTAAAAGTAAAATTTGACATTGGAGGAACATGGCCTAGTTCATCTTCTTGGCTCACTTTCTAAACAATTAAAAAAGAAACTCCTGTATTAAGCATCTATCAGCTGGGTAGGGAAAGTCAGTGAGGAATTTCACTTATTTGTCCTGTATTTTAAGTTATGAAAAATAATTTATTTGATAATTTGGCCTTTTATTATTTTGCAATCTGTTACACCTAGAAAATCCACTTTAACTGAGCCAGTTGACACTGGTATATACATATATTACATGATAATTATATAGTGTTTTTGAGAGTGTACTGTCATGAATCCCCTTGATGGATAATTCAAGGCTTTTAGACTGTGCAAGCTGCATAGCATCAATGAGACTACATTAGCTTGTTGCATTTCTATTAGCATCTGCCAAAAGAAAAAAAAAAAAAAAGAAAAAACAAAGAAAAAAACCTCAAAATACTATGCAACATATTCAGTGGAATCACTGTAAAATATTATAAGATGTTTTTCTTTTTTTCTAATTACATGGGTAACTTGACAGCTTCCTTCACTACTTTGGAACAGCTTCCCCACAAATAGCTTCAGCATTAGTTGAAGATTTAGACAAAAGCCTATAAAAGCAGGGCGAGTGGGATTCAAATTTAAATACACAGATCAGTATTTCTTTAGAGTTTATCCATTTTGGGGAACTATCCTGCTTTCCGCCCAGAATATAATCTCCACATCATGAGGATAACCACCGTATCATCTCCTTTTGACCAATTAAGAGAAGTCCTCCAGAAGAACAGAACTTTTGAATTATTAATACACCCATGAACAAAGGACACATTCCTCATGGTTGTAAACAAACTAATCCATTTAGTCTTGTATTATTTATGGCCTTCAAATAGAGAAAACACTTTTTCACAGGATCTTAAAAGCTTGTGAAGCTTTTACCTTCACCCTTAGAAATTTTGGATATGAGTCTGGGTATCTTTAGTATCATAAAATATTAATAATGAAAAGAAAGTGGAATTTTAGGGGTCCTGACAGCAATGTCAGATCAAGAGGCAGACATTTCAAGAAAAAATCATCTCGGGAAATACTCATTGCAGCAAGTGCTGACACTGAGCTAATTCCTGTCCTCGCTTACAATGCAGTTAAGCCTGTGCAACTGCTACAACTTTTTACACTTTGTGCAATTTTTCAGTTGTCTTTGTTATAAAAACAATTATTTTATATCGGTTTTGCACAAACCCAAAGTCTCAGCCCTATAGCTAGCTTTCCTCCATCCCTTTGAGCTGCTTGCTGGATTTATACATAAATCTAGCACAAGAAGCAGATGCTTCAGGTAACAGAACAGGGCCACCTCTTTGCAGGCTGTGCCCYGTGCTATGGTAGAAGGGTCTGTAACCAACTCTTTATCCAGGCTGCATTCACTGAGAGGGGCAGTGCTGGAAGGCAAGGAGAGAGTGAAAAATGAGGAAGACCAGGAAGAAAGCGYAGAAACACAAAAACAGGAAGTGCTGACTAGACTCAAAGTGGACACTCAGAACATCCTGATGAAATTTCTATTTGAAGAATAGCAAAAGTAGAAGKTTTTTTTTCTTCATCAGTTTCATAGGAAAATGCAGTGTCAGCTAAGGAGTTTCAGCTAAGAAAGACCCCATATTTAGTTTAGAAACTTTTCAGTTGYACCAGTTCAGTTGCAACAAAGAAACATTTGGCTTGTCTCAGAGTTAATTCACAAAAGAATAGAATATTTCAACACRGACATTTTAAGATAGTTTGAAACTAATTATATAACAAAGAGGGGGTTGTTCTGGGACCCAATTGAAAAATCAGCTACCCTCAAACCATGAAAAAGAACACAGACTTACCTGTCTGCAGGACTAGGTCAATGAATTATTCACTGCAAACATCCAAAATCCTGATCCACCCAGAATTAGGTATCAGGGTTACCTAATTTGGGCTACCTACAATTACACATGATTAAGAGGCTAGAGCAAGCCTACTGGTAGGCAGACAGAAATAATCCCTGCCAAAATAAATAGCAACTAGCAAAAAGGAGCAAGCACCAACACCCACTAGTGGGTTAAAAAAAAAAAAAAAAAAAAAAAAAAAAAAAAGCCAAGAAAGCAACCTGAACAATTAGGTACGATATCACCTATGATCGGGAA